GAAACTCCTCGAGGAAACAAGTATATTGTGATTGGAGTTGACTACTTCACCCGGTTCATGTTTGCACAAGCATCGCCGGACAGTCAAGGCAAATCAGCTGTTGTACTCCTCATGAGAGTAGTCAAAACCTTTGGGTGGCCAAGAGCAGTATACACTGATAATGGTACTCACTTCGTATCGGGTGAGTTTGCAAGAGTGCTGCAAGGTCACCACGTCGTTCATCTACCTGCACCAAAATGTCACCCACAGTCTGTTGGCCTGGCGGAAAGATACGTTCGTCTGTTGGTGGAAGGTTTGAAGGTCACCCTTATAGCAAGCAAGGGTGCTTCAACGGATTGGGACCTCTATGTTGACCCAGTCATCCATTCTATCAATACCAGAGTCCTGCGAGTTCACGGATTCAGCCCTGCGGAACTATTACTCGGATACAATCCGAACAGAATCGGTTGGGACACTACATCTAATACGGAGCAGACTGTCTCTGTTATTCTCAGCGTGGTGCCTGAGAACCTGGATTTGTGGAACGGAGACCAGATCCTGGCCGATAGACAGCTTGAGCGCCTAACAAGAATCGATGAACTGCGTACAGAGGCAGCGGAGAAGGTCGTTCAGCAAGCAGACCAAAAGATGAAGGCCCAGAAGGACCCTCGATTTTTACCACCTTCCGCAGGTAACTTGGTTTTACTTCGGCGGTTCATTTTGGACCAGCGTCGTGGAAGTAAGCTAGAACCCCGGTGGGAGGGACCTTACCTACTCGGAGACTTAGCCTGGCATGGCAAGAGCAGCCGACTCTACGATATCAATACTCGGGAGCTGGTTCGAGTAAAGAAGAGCGGCTTGAAGGATCGGGTTCATCTCAATGATATAAAACTATATCTGAAGCGGTCGGCAGAGGAGGTAGACCTGGTGGATTTACTTGAGTACGGAGGAGAAGATGGAAGGCCACCGTGGGTGGAAGAGGATAGGCTTAGCAGGGAAGGGGTAAAGGCAGGAGGAGACAGCGATAGGAAATTGAAGGTACACTGGTGGGATAAGGCTAAAGAGCTTGGATAAGGGAAAGAGATAGAATGCGGGAGTGTCATGAGGCGGTTACTTGGCGATTCAGTTAGCTAGCTTGAGAAGGGTTGTTTATGGGGGATACGATAGTAGGACAGTATAGTTAGCTGCCTTCGGGGGCGAAGGCTTGAGGAGGGAGAGCCCTTGTAGGGGGCGGTGGTAGTATAGGATAGTTTGGCAGTCACAGGGGGAGGTTTGTACGCACAATGGTGGCACAGTAGTAGATAGCTTGGCACGCACAATTTTCAGTATTGGGGAGAGGACTTTCATGTTTGCGCGGTAGATAGAGAAAAACAACCTTCCGGACGGCTCTCAATTCAATCACCAGTCCTCACCTAGGAGGTTGGTCCTTTTCCTTGGTTCTCTTTCTGCTTATCCGCCCTATTATCTTTTATCTACCCAGAGCCAAGTCTACCTGCTCAATCTCCGGTAATAGCAAGTAGAGTTCCGGTCGTCTTTCTCTTCACGGGCGTGCATGGTCAACACACCATCCATCTAAGGGGAAGGTAACGGGACAACCCCAACACCGGTATCCTGCCCCACTCTAGCTTTTTTTTTTTGCGGTAATTATTTTATCTATTTTGCTCTCTCTAGCTAACTCGTTGGCATTTTTTTCACTATTTTAGTCGTTTCTCACACTCCTACAAGTGCAGGTGTATCTTTGGGGGGGGGGGGGGTGATTTTGCAGCAATTAACTACTCGAGTACGGTTAATTAACCCCCCCGAGCACCATTTCCCCCCGTACTGTACCGTTATCCAGCCTAACAGGTATTGCCATCACTCAACCCAGCTAGGCGTACCGTACGAGCATAGTGCTCTACGATACGGATATCCGTACTATTATAAGTGACCGGCAATCTAGCTCGTGACTGCTTACGGTATCCCACTTACTCGTAGACCACCACTATCCGATGCCTTACTGCTTACTTTACATCCAACAATGGCAGTCGTACGACGGATTACCGGTATGAGACCGGTACGGATAGACGCCCATGACCAAAGTCCGCACGTGGCAGGGCGGACCGACAGTCGTATTCGATCTAAAGGACTGTAAGGCCATTGCAACACCACACCTGTGACGAAAGGACTTCCTTACCTGGCAGGTTGATGATCACGCACACGAGCACCATCCCTTTCCCATACCCTCCCCCACTCCCTTCCTACTCTCGTACAGTATGGACGGGGGTTGCCTTGCATACCGATGCTGTGCTCCACAAGGAACTCCAGCACTTTATGCATTCGTTGTTGGAAAAGGATGGGGGGAGGCAACTCCCGGTATTACGGTGGTCAGTTATTCCAACACGCTCCAAATGGAGGGGGGATAAGTCAGCGGGTTGAAGCGTCGTATGAGATGTCACGGAGTATTCCGCCGTCAATGAGCTTCTGTGAGGAAGGGTTCACTTTCCTGCCCACCGGAGGTGAAGTCTGTCTTGGTCGAGCCACTCGAGTTGGGGTGCACTACTATCCTTTCCAGAGAATGGGCCTGTCTCATCTATCGGAGACATCACGTCTCACAAATAGCTGGGTACCGTAGACAACCTCCCAAACTGGGAGAACAATGTCCTCTCCACACCACCAAGTCCCCTATTTTACCCCGCGAATAACAGCAGTTCTCCAAATTACGGTACAACAAAACTCGAGCACCGGTAAAAGACTGTGCAGGGAATGGATGCAGTATCATACCGTTTGCAATACTTGGCAGCGTGCAGTACCGTAGCCTACGCAATTCATTTCAGTTCGCGGCATCCGTCCGGCGGTGTGAGAAAGAGCCAACTTGCAGCACATCGCCGTATTGTCACAATTTCATGTAAATTTATTTACCTTTTCCGGGGGGTATCCCTTGGGCGGTGTGAAACCGTCAAACTCGCGCCCACCACGCTAAGGCCAAAAGTAGGTAGCTGTTGGTTGTGTTTGGTGGGGAAATCGGAGTTTCCAGCCTTTTCAATGCTCAAATGACTCAGCATCCTATGTGCGCTAAGCTTGTTATGGAACAAGATAAACTGAACAGTATTTAAGCTGGTGTGGACGCGAATCTTACTGTTTCACACTGCCCAAGGGATAAAAAGCTTCTGGTCCGGCGGGTTTGCCGGTATCGGTAGTGAGGTCAGTCTACCTACTCTAGCGAAAAGCACCCCTGTCCTGCAGATCATAATATGTTACTCGAGAACCATCGGATGAGGTCATTCCTCCGACGCAACAACCGTACTCGAGTAAAGGGCCGCTACCCTACCGCAAGGGAGGGAGGGGGGTGAGGATCAAAACATTTCAGCGGGGTGGCTTCCGGCATGGTTTGGCCCACTCCTTGAGATTGATTGGTGTGGTTTTGGGGCACGGAGCAGAAAAAGCGCCGCAGCATCGAGGGGGGGGGGTAACACACACAGGAGCGATCGCTCTGTGCGAGTACGGTACGGTAGGGTTTTGATTATTAGATTATCTATTCTTTCTTTCTTGGGAGGACAGAAATCTGCCTTGTAGAGTAAACCCCCGGGACTGTCTGTCTTTCTGTCTGCCTATCTGTCCGCTGTGGGGCTAAGGTGGCCCTCTTCAATACGCTATGAATACGAAGAGGATTCATAGACGTATCTCAATTCTCGCGGAGGAATGAGGCCTGCCAAGGACGGGAATCAGGCAAGGAATGTCTTGGTCAACCTTGTCTTGGTCAACCTTACCGTCGATACAAGCAATTGTTAGCGACGCCTTATCCTTCTAGGTCTGCTTGGCACCACTATCGGCACGACGTGCGCTATCGAGATCGATTGTTTGCAAAGATTTCTCCCGCAAAAAGATTCATCTCTAACTCTACGCCACAGGGAGCTCCATGTACCACCCTGGGCACTCGTTCCCCGTAAATGAAAAATAGGACCCTGTGAAACGCTTTTGATCTCGCTTTTCATCCCAGGTTTGATCAGACACGGCTTTTCATTTTGGGGCAGCCAATATCTAACTTTCCCATGACGGGAGGGTCCTTTGGGATGAATCTAGCGGAGGGATGATTTCCACAATTTTAAACGGACGGTTGTCTAAATTGGGAAAATTGGGGGTGTCAGAAGAAGGGAAAAGAAGAAGAAAAAACAAATCTACATATATATATACCGGTAGGTGCTCTTTGCATCATTGAGACCCGCTCCGGGAGGCGTTTCGTGCTCGTACAGTACTAGTACAGTACATTGATCGACTGCAGGATTTCCTTCATTAGTAGACTACCCTAGTTTACCACCACTGCCGCATCGCTGCACCACAGCCCCCTATACGGTATACCCCTCCCCCAGCCCCTCTAGCGGACTCGAGTATTGCGGGGGGCATTCGAACGGTCACTTTGTGTTCCATCGATATTGCCTGGCTGCGGTGGAGCACAGCTAGCGATGAGGATTTTACCATGTTAAATCTGCCGCTGCCTGCAATAGAATGATTTTGCGCATCCGACTTCTGGTCCAAGGGTGCATGGGGACGAATGCGCGAGGGGAATGATCGAAATTGCAGAGGGCGAGAGTCTGGGATGCCCGCATCACCCCCATCAGTTAGGTTACAGTGGGAAATAGGATACTGGAGTAGGAAATCAAGCTAAGGATCCGTGCCACTGGAACGGTTGATTTTGAAGCACTCGAGGGCTGGTAGGGGAATGGAGAAGGAAGGTACCGGTATAGGGAATACTGGTGAGAGGGGAGGAAAGGCTACGAGTAGCGAGCCGAGTGACTGAATTGGGGGTGGGATAACAAGGGAAGAAAAGCAAAAAAAAAGAGCAGGGTTCATTTCTACTCTTATTACCGTATTCCCTGCTCCCCATTTCGTCCATGATATGTTTATCCCCGGAGGGGGGGGCATGATGTCTTGCTTTCTCATGTACTACATAGTGTCTCAACCCCAACTCCGTGGCAGCTATAAGGTAGCTGGTATCCCCCTTCCCCACTACTCATCTCGCTCTCCCGTCAAAGAGGATAGGAATTATGTCCAATCCAATTGCTAGCACAGTGGGTTCTCCGGACACGGGGAAACCCCCCTCCGTTGAGCAACATGAGCAGTCAGCGCCAAAGAGCCAGCCCGAGGACCTGCACAGGCTCAATTCCAAACTTGCACACCCCCTCTCGGGGATCCCACACGAGGAGCTGATGGAGATGGGTGCTTCCTATGCCCGTGAGAACGAGATGGAGGACCTACAGGACGAGTTCAGGAAAGGAGCTCTCCTCGCCCAGAATCCCCAAGCTTTCGATACATTACCATTATTGACGGACGACGACAAGTATTACCTGCGAAGAGAAGTCACCCACAAATGGAGCCACCCCAAAGACCTGTATCATATGGTTGTAATGTGTTCTATGGCTGCCGCAGTTCAGGGAATGGGTACGTAACCCTTACAAGCACGCTGTGAAGGCAAGAGTAACCCTCGCCAACAACCGCATTACAGATGAGACCGTCATCAATGGAGCCAACCTTTTCTTCCTTAAACAATTTGGGATCGAGCACCGAGAATGGATCGCCGGCCTCGTTAATTCGGCCCCATATTTAGCCTGTTTCACAGTCGGCTGTTGGTTAACCCATCCTCTCAACAAGCAATTCGGTCGTCGGAACACTATCTTCATCACTTGTTTCATCTCCTTCGTGACATGCTTATGGCAAGGGTTCACGAACACATGGCCTCATATGTTTGTTGCGAGATTTATGTTAGGTATTGGAATTGGCCCTAAGAGTTCAACCGTCCCGGTCTATGCGGCGGAATGCTCGCCGCCAGCGATCCGAGGTGCTCTGGTTATGATGTGGCAGATGTATGGCCCTATTTCCCCCCCAGCATCCCCCCTACCTTGCTACTAATGCCCGTTGCTACTCCAGGTGGACCGCATTTGGCATCATGCTGGGTTATATTGCCGATGTTGCGTTCTACAACGTCCAGGACCCACCTCACGTGAGTACCTCCGATGCGTCGGGACAGAAAGGGAAGTTCGTCCTGAAAAAATCCTTGATAGATCACCGGCCTCAATTGGCGTCTCATGCTTGCCTCCGCTATGATCATACCCTTGATTGTCTGCTTTCAGGTCTATTTCTGTGTAGGTTGCCATTTATGTCTTGGCTCCATTTGATGGTTGAGACTGATTTCCCGCCCATAGCCTGAGTCTCCCCGTTACGAAATGTTGAAGGGCCGCCATAAGCGCGCTTTCAACTCGCTTGCTCGCCTACGATGGACAAAGGTCCAGGCAGCCAGGGACCTGTTCTACATGCACACTCTCCTGAAGGTCGAAGCCGAGCTGAATAGGAAGAGTGGTAGTAAACTCGTCGAGTTCTTCACTGTTGGGCGCAACAGGAGAGCCATGATTGGTTCCGAAATTGTCATGTTTATGCAGCAGGTATGTGAATTCACCGACGAGCCCTCCTCATTCTTACCCGAACTAACTTTGGCACAGTTTTGCGGGGTCAATGTTATCGCGTACTACTCCTCAGTCATCTTTAAGGACTCTGGATTTAGCGTCATTGATTCCTTGTTGGCCAGTCTGGGCTTCGGAATTATTAACTTCCTGTTCGGTGGGCGTTGCTTTGCTAATCCTGTGAAACGAATGCTAATGTGTGGCAACAGCTATTCCCGCGGTGTACACCATCGATACCTTCGGTCGTCGATTCCTACTTCTCACTACGTTCCCACTTATGGGTCTCTTCCTGCTATTCACCGGATTTTCGTTCTGGATTCCTGATAGAGAGGCAAGGATTGGATGCGTTGCCCTCGGGATTGTAAGCGCACTATAGAAACCCTAGCCGATAAGCCAATTGATCTAACATCTTTTAGTACTTGTTCGGGATTGTGTACTCTCCCGGTGAAGGGCCGGTGCCATTCACGTACTCAGCAGAGGCGTACCCTCTCTACATTCGTGATCTCGGTATGTCGCTCGCTACAGCGACGACATGGGGTTTCAATTGGCTGTTGTCGATGACCTGGTTACCACTCGTACGAGCTTTCAAGCCGCAAGGAGCCTTTGGATACTATGCGGCATGGAACGGTATTGGGTTCGTTCTGGTTCTACTCTTCTTGCCCGAGACCAAGGGAAGAACTTTGGAGGAATTGGACAGAGTGTTCGAGGTTCCCACACGGAGTCAAATGAAATATGGATTGGCACAGGTTTGTATCCAGGTCAGAGCATCTTTAGCAAGAGATAACAACACTAACCTCAAACATTCAGGTTCCATGGTTTTTCAAAAGATACATCTTCCAACAAGACGCCCCACCCCCCAAGCTATTAGAACTAGAAGATATAGAGTACCACCCAGATGCCTTCCAGAGCGGGAGCAAGGAAATGGGTGAGGGTAACAGCGTTTGAGTAGGAACATAGTTGCTTATGGATTTCCTTTATCTCTTCTATTTAGTTTACTTTTAAGATTGCCAGCTGGGGATCTTTTTCGAGTTAGTCTATTAGACTAGACATGCTCTTATAACTGTTTTTCATCTTATGAATATTCGCAATGATGCATGATTATATATACCATTTGTTCGAGTCATAAGGGGTGAGTTTTCTTTTTCCCATCCGCTCAAGAACAGTCGTAACGCGGAAGACGGCCGCAAACAAGGCTGTGTCCTATGAGCCCTACTGGCGTCATACAGTCATACCGTATCCACCCGAGTATGATACCTACACACCCCGTGATGGTGTTTTCCGAGTATCGGACCAGTGGTGGTTGTGGCATACCTTCATCGGTAGTTGCCTCCTCGCCTGCAGTACCGCTTTGCCTTACAGTAGGGTTACGCCGGCGTTTAGATGGAATGGCGAGATATATCAAGCACGATGCCGCTGTCACCGTTTGTAGCACGCGAAGGACTTTCTTGGGGGATCTCGTATCATATCATCCCAAGGTTTTGGGAAATCGTAATGTTGGAGACCTCACTTGTAGAACCTAATGTTGGCAGCCTGGGAATTTATTCTGTAGGGCAGTGTTGTACCGGTCAGGTACCGGCATGACACCAGGAGTCGACATTATCGCCCCTATGATAGTCGAATGAACTTTACTATGATATCATGCCATCGTCATGGATCTGCCCTCCGATCATAACGAGTAAGTTACTAGTGGGAGACTCCTGAACTGAGTGGGATTCAGGTGACGAGGGAAGAAGAGGAAACAAGAGATGGAAGACTTCGTCCCATCTTTTTGGAAGCAAGATTTAGGATGGGGAAGTGGGTTTGGGGAACTTGATACCGTGGTTTATTTAGCCCTACGGTACCCCTTCCCTTCGGGTCAAAGATCCATACTGGTGGCACACAAGACGGGAACAGCCATCTCGAACCCTCACATTCGGCCATTCTCGGAACAATCTTACAATTTGTCTCGTTCCCATTGGCTTGAACCCCTGTGGCACTGCGCATTAGCGGGCCAAAAAAAAACCGGGAGAGAGGAGCTCACTGCCACAGCTAGAATAAAACGCCACCCCCGTCAGATTTTTCAAGAAAATTTCCCCCGTTCCCGCGCCTTTTTTAACCCGGCTTTCTTTTTTTTTTTCCTTTCTTCTCTTTCTCTCTCATCCAGCATCGACCACCGCTTTCCACTTCACTGCTCACCTACACCCTCGCTGCGTACGACACGATACCAGTTGTTGTTCTCTCATTCAAGAACCGATATTATTGTATTACTTTGATAGATATGGGTTTCAAGGACGGTGAGATTGAAGTCTTTCTTTTCTCTTCGACGTGCACTCGATGGATTGTGGGGTGGGTTATGCCATCCTTCCTTCATCCTCCCTTTGTTTCCTCCCCTTCCTTCATTCTTGCCTCTCCAGTAACTGGAGAAATTGTAGTGACGGCACCCGTCCAATCCTTTACCATCTAGCGACTGGGATCAGGTGCATTGCCAGAATTGAGAGTAAAAAAAACTTGGCGACACAATACTCAACGAAAAACATTTTTAAGAGCAGTTGGGACTGACAGTTCATTTGCATTAGGCGACGATTCTAAAGGCGCGAACCTTTTCAAGACCCGCTGTGCTCAATGCCACACCCTCGAGGCCGGCGGGGCGAACAAGATCGGTCCCAACCTGCACGGTCTGTTTGGACGTCAGTCCGGACAGGTTGAGGGTTTCTCCTACACCGATGCGAACAAGCAGAAGGGCGTTGTCTGGACCGAGGAAACTTTGGTACGCCATCCTTCTTCCCCTTCCCCAAGTGGTGGGGGATTGGAGGGGGTGGAGAACTAATTGTGGTGGATCATTTATAGTTCCAGTACCTCGAGAACCCGAAGAAGTACATTCCCGGGACCAAGATGGCTTTCGGTGGATTGAAGAAGGAGAAGGACAGGAATGACTTGATTACGTGTGTTTTCCCTCTTATACGATGCCCCCTTTGATATTTCGGGTTGATATGGTAGCTGACGCATTGTGTATGCGTGATAGCCACCTGCGCAACGCTACTAAATAGAGCTTTTAATGTTTTTTCTTCTCCGGTTCGGCTCGTAAAACAAAATCCTATAGAACTCATCTCTACTCTTTCGTTTCTTTATATTCCACTCTGTCGGTGTATCTGAAGTTGGTGGTATTTCGCTACGGGCGGATTTGTATTATATTATCATGTCCCTTTTTTCCACCCTGGTGGGGGTGGAGTGGGGGAAGCAATAGACAACCTGACAAGGCAATGATTATAATAGCTTCTTGCTCTGTTCATGAATTATCACTCAACTGACAAGTGTAAGGTGCTCCAAAGTGCCTCAGAGCGGTAGTTTGAGGCAACAAAGAGACCCCTGGAGTCGGGTTTTGCTCCTTGCGTTGAAGGCACCATGCGCTTAGTACGAGGCTAACTCCCGCAAAAGGTGTATGACAAGTGTGGTTCCTAATCGGCCTTTGTTTACGCTTACTTTTTACTCGAGCACTAAATCGCGGCAAGTACCGGTAGTCTCTTTTGGACACAGCCGGCGCACTTTGTACGAGTAGAATATTTCCGAACGGGTCTCGACACACCCACAGAATTTGTATAATTTTTTTGTACAAAAGGGGGCATAATGTATACAATATGTTTTCATGAGGTTGGTAACGCATTTAAAGCCTGCGAAGGCTGCTCCAGTACGATACGCTCTGACGGATACCCAACGCGCAACTACGGGTAGGTTAAGTGGCGTAGTGGTGAAGTGCATCAGGCATCTGTCATGCTCTTCCCATACTCGAGTACCGTTACGTTACAATGGGACACGAAGAAGCGCATGCAGCAGCGACCGGCCTAAGCACACAACCCCACCAAAGAAAGAATGAAAGCCGACAATTCGAATCAAAGATCCTTAGGTGACTTGGAGCGCTCTTGCCCACCGCATATACGAGTACCAGCTGATCAGAGGCTAACCAGCAACAGTTAGCAATGTTTCCCTTCAGCACTTGTCACCGTGTCACTATTATACCATTTGCTCGTGGACGTTTTGCCGTCCCGCTCCAGGCGGTTCAACACCAGCTGTGTACTGTATTGTATTAACTTATAGTACTCGAGTACATAGTACGAATAGTGGCACCCCGCCATCCCAGCCGACCAAAATCCGAAGAATCTATCCAGAACAACCGGGGGGGGGGCGGGGTAGAGTAAATCCTGGATAACCCCGGTCAAGCTTTGGTGCGAAATTCCTTTTTTCCGAATAATCACGGGGATTTCGTACGGGACAGCGAGGTATACACACATTATCGAGGTTTGACTGTATGGTATAAACATGGCGATGCCGGACCCTCCGACTCGAGAGTACAAATACCGGTACTCGTTCGTAGATGATGCTGGACTAAGGACTCGGTCGTTGATTGGATTGTAAAAGGGTTAAAACAGAAGAAAAAAAACAAAAACGGAGACGAGGGAAAGCCCTGCTTTTTTGCGGAGGTTATGCTGATATGATAGGTCCAGCACTATTAGACTAAGGCCAGTTCAGATAGTTGCAAACTCCGCCAGCTCGATCGGGAAGGAAATCCCGGGGGAATGGGAAAGATCCAGCTCGGAGGTTGCTACCGTACTTGATGGCCCTCGTGGTTCCGCGCTGCCATGGCTCAAGATCTACTATCATACATGTTATGATACTTTTGCCCTTCTGGAGGTTTGCGAGGGCGCAAAGCTGAAGAAGGGGGGGGGTTTCTTCACTGGTGTGATACACGAACGGAACTCATCTAGCTTTTTTCCCTCCAGTTGCGGGATGGGGGCAGGTTTGTTGTGGCAATTGGTATAGTTGGAGGTCGTAGGGTGCCATCACCTCACCATTATTGTTTGCATTGTTCGGAATTTGGATCTTGGGCATTCCTCATGTTATGGCTTGGGCGTGACGGATACTGAGGACGTATTCGGCTCACAGGTTGGGCCCTCGCTGGGCCGTGTGCAGAAGCTGTGCATTAGCCATGGTGTGCTCAAGGCCCTTGGAGAAGGTAGTATTTGCTCGAAAGGATCAAATAAACGATCCCGAGAATGTCTAAGGAAAAAAAAAAGACACCCAAGGCGCCACTTTCGGGCCCATCGTAAAATATCGCTCTGACTCCTAACAGTTTGAATGGTTCTGTAGTATTCACAAAAGAAATCTGAAGTATATTCGTGCAAAGTCCAGTAAACCCAACCAACCAGTACCGTATTATAATAACCTCACCCACCATATAACCTCATATCGTACAACCATTACGTCCTAACCTCATCCTCCCCCCACTCCCTTCTGGAACCTCCTATCACCATCTCAACTTAGGCGCAAGAAGCAGCACAAAGAGCACCATCAAAGCCAACCCAACGATAATGACGGGATACAAAATGGACCACAAAAACCCCACGTTCTCATTCCTCCTTAGCGCCTCCAACTTCCTTCCAGTGCCTTCAATGCCCAGGGCATTCTTGTCGAGCCCTTCCCGCGCCATATCCAGCAGCACCTTCTCGTTCTCCAACTCGCTGCCGAAGCGGAGGGAGGACTGCTTGAGCGCCTGAGCAAGCGAGAGCATGTCTGCGGTTATGTGCTCCTGCTCGGTGCGTTGGTGATCGAGGTGTTTCTCGGAGTCGGTATCGGTGGCTGCTGTGGCCGGGTCGGGATTGGGGGGGAAGAGTTGCTTGCGCTGGTGGTGGTTGGTGGTGGTTGGTTGTTGGAAGCGGTTTCGGAGCGTGGAGGTTGTTGCTGTTGTAGATGTGGGCATATTTTCTGACTGCTGTGGGGGGTTTCCGCCGTTTGCTTGTGCTGGAGGCGCGGATACCTCTTCTACCTCCTCCCCCTCCTGGTCATCATCACCACCACCATCAGTAGAACCCCCTCCTTCCTCCTCCTCCCCCTCAGCAGCGGTAACAAGCAACTGCTCGTTCAGCCTTCGAATGGCTTGCTTCTGCACGCCCAGTCCCGAAAGCACGCTCTGCCGCGTGGACGTATTCCGAATGAGTGCGGATTCACTCTCCAGGGAGAGGAGGAGCTGCCGGGCGTACTCGAGGTTCGCAGCGAACTTTGCGCGGTCAACCGGGGAGAGGGGTGTGGCTTTTTGGGATGCGAGTTTCGAGTCTAGGCGAGAGAGGAGGCGGGTTAGGTTTTTGGTGGCTATTGTTGATTCTGTGGCGGCGATGTGGAGGCCCATGGTGTAGTTTGTCTATTTGATCGGCGCTGTGGGGAGAAAGGAGGGGAGAGTCGAGGGGAGAGTCGGGGAGAGAGTTGTGTGATGTAGCAGGGAAAGGTACGGATTTCGATGACGATATTCCGGTGATTGTGGTTGGTCGAGTATATATAGACGGAGGGATTATTTTGGAGAGTCCAATGGGCTGAGGGGGTTATGTGCTGTGTGTGTAGAGTAGCTGTGCCGATATTATACCCGTGCTGGAGTATAGTAGCGGGATGGGCTCTGCTTTCTTCTCTTGTATGATAGACTATCCTATTCCCTCCTGTTCAGGGAGCTGCAGAGCTTGCAGTAGTCTTGAGGCCATAGTGTTAAATTCGAGTTAAAGAGCCTCTTGTTAACAAAGAACGGCCCCGGATTAACTTTCTTGCGCGATTGGGAGCACGGGAGAAAGTTGCCGCCATGTTTTCTGTTTTCATCTTCGCCTCTTACGCCGGGATCAGGACCACGCTCACGGCACACACATCTACAAACACACGCTCGTTTTCTTTTCAATATCGGGATACACTTGTCGTGGGGTGTAGCGTTCACCAACTTTCATCCATTATTCATAATGGGGGAAAGGGGCCATGAGTCTCCGATGGACTTCCAGTGGGAAGGGACTGGGCCCAGTGACCCAAACTCACCTTTTCGCATGTCTGCTCTGAATAATAGTCTTACCCCTACAGCGCAGAAAAAACGTGAGTGTAAAGACAGCTCCTATGCACGCTACGAATATTGACAGACAAGAGACAGGAGACCACTCGTCATTTCAATCCGATACCCCTAAACTCGCCACACTCACGCCTCCCTCATCACAACCTTTTCTCTTCCAAACAGCGTCAAGACCAGCCCCCCCGCTTTTTAAAAGCGCGTCATTCACTACTCCTCGCCAAACTGCGGATACCCCACGGAAGTCGCTGTTTTCCGTTGCTCGCGATGCCACGGCAGATGCTGATATGGAAACCCCCGAGACCCCGCAGACTCCCTGTTCGCCAGCTAAAGGATCTCCGACAAAGTCTTCAGCATTAATCTCGCCAATCCGTAAGACCGGCCGCGGTGAGATCAAACGTGTGAGTAATGACGGTGCGATCAACAAGGTCCGTCGGCGCCGTATGAATCAAAAGTTCGAGCGTGGGGGCTGGTGGACGATATCTGGGCCCGCTGGGTCCGCCAGTGAGGACGAGGGCCAAGGCGCTGAAGATGATGAGGATGACAACGATGACGATGGACGGCAGATTTACGGAGACATGAGTACTCCCCGGCGGTGGGGATCAAAGGCCAGGTCCGCCGCTGCAAGGTGGGCTCAGACTCATCGGGAAATCCCGATCATCGCGTCGCAGTACCTGCAGCTATTCTTCAATCTCAGCATACTGCTTTTGCTACTGTACGCCGTTTTCTGCTTCTACCTTACCATCCGCCGGGACGTGGATCAGAAAATTGAGGAGTATTCCGCAGAGATTGTCCAGGAGATGAGTCAGTGCGCGAAGGACTACGTTGAGAATCGCTGTGATCCGAATATGCGTGTGCCGGCGATGGAAATCAGGTGCACCGCCTGGGAACGCTGCATGAATAGGGATCCTACGCAGGTTGGCAGGGCCAGGGTTTCGGCGGAGACGTTTGCAGAGATCATCAATAGTTTTATCGAACCCATTAGCTATAAAACAATGGTAAGCACTTCTCTTTTATATCGGCTCTGGGGGATGAAGGCTGATAGAGGTAGTTCTTCTGCACTATTCTCTTCTTCGGTGGCCTAACTGTCTCGAATATGGCCTTTGGATATTTCAGAGCTAAAACTCTCAACCATCCGGCGCCGTATCTTGCCGCTGCCGCTCCCATGGCGGACCATTGGGACCCTCACCAACAGCTCCACCAACAAACCGGATATAAAAGTGCTCCCGGAACACCCATGCCCACTACCCCCGCGCGCGGAATCAAGTATAGGGAATTAAGAACACCGGGAACCGCGAGAAGGAATTTACAATGGCAATGATGTGCATTTGAGATCGGAAGTGGAAGATGGAAACAGGCTTGTGAAGGATGTGTTAGTGGGAAAGAGGGGCAACTCGATGCAATGTATGAAATGGAGTTTTCGTTCATGGGTTTGGGATTTTTGATTTTCTTCCCCTTTTATTCTTGCTTTCGAGGGCGAGGGGAACAATGGGCGGAGGCTATACTCGACTGCAGTCTATTTTTGCAACCCTGCGACTGTGGTCTGTCCTATCCGGCTTGCGTGTTACCCGGAATATTCTGCTCTCTTTTGTCTTTCCATAGGATTTCTGGAGGTGCTTGGATCGGGACCAGTACTCGGTATCCGTAGATGTATCAAGACCGATTCGCCCCCCTCTGTAGCATCGTATGTTTTGGCGGGATACCAGTTTCTGTGTGCTTGTGCTTGGTGGCGGGCGGTCTGGAAGGCTAGGGATAGTGCCGGTGCCAGGGGAGTAGGGGTCAAGTAGCATGGTAAAATCCCACGATCCCATGATCCCGATAGACGCCTCTGGCTCTATCCCTTCGTAAGTTTTCCGGCACCCGAACCGCAGCAACAGCGTTGCCAACCCGTGCAGTGCAAATGATGAACGGCAAAACAACCTAAAAATTTCCCAATATCGTGACAGATCTTCTTCAGGGGATTATCGGCCAGGCCAGTCAAGAGTTGTAGCCTTTCCCACAAGGGTGTGTGTGTGGAATCGGGGGACAGACGAGAGGATTCCTTCCGAGATTCCTGATCGCCCCTTGTGATAGACTACCGTATAATACTAGTATCATTCCGTTCGCTCCACAATCCCCAGAATGTCCGGAAAAACAATTATCCGGGTTACCTCATTCAGCACGCGAATTTTTCGACCACCCCACCAAACATAAACCACTCCCAGCCCAAACTTGAACCTTCCTCACAAATGTTCTCCCGAATCCGCATCCGCGTATGGGCCCACCAGTTACCATACATCTACCCAACCACTCACTGGCGATTGCGATCTGTCCCTCTGCGAAGAGGATTAGCGTCTACTCCCCGCTTCTTTGAGCAAGATGTTTCCTCTGATACTGCAACACCGCCGTTAAAATCTCCGGGAGCAGTTAGGGAGGAGGAAGACTTGAGCTGGGTACCGGGCTACTGCCCCGGCTGTGGTGCCCCGAGCCAGCGCCAGGATCCAAATTTACCGGGCCACTACTCGCGTTTGACCCGCCGCCAACGCTTCGGCGACCTGACCATAAAATCACAAAAGCAGCACAGTGAAGAAAATATCTTCCACGGCACCCTCGAGCGCCTACGGTCCCAATCGGGCCCTGAAACCCAATCCCCGGAATTACGTGAGTTTCTTGCCGCCGCACCGGCCTCATCACCTCCCCCCACTTCCGTGAATGTCGCCCCCGCCGAAGCCGGCCTCATTTGCGGCCGGTGTCGCGGCATACGTTACCACCACCGTGGGAGCGAATTGCCCGCATACCCCACCCTTCGCACCCTGACCAACCTCATACAGAACTCGCCGCACACAAGGAATCACATTTACCACCTCATCGATGCCGCTGACCTGCCCATGTCGTTGCAGCCGGAACTGCGCGAGCACCTCTACAAGAACTTGCCCCTGCCGCTCCGACGTGGTTTGACTATCTCGTACGTCGTTACTAGGGCGGATATCCTCATGGCTTCGTCACAGCAGGTCTGGAGCTTAACAACGTATATCAAGAAGAGGATCAAGGATGCCCTACCTGAGGATGAGAAGATTGAGGACGTGATGAATAGGACCCATATCATTTCTACCAGGAATGGCTGGGGAGTAGGTAGGGTTAAGGATGAGATTCGGATTAGGACGGGCGGCGTGTGGATTATTGGGGGGGTGAATGTCGGGAAGTCCAGGTTTGTGATGGAGATGTGGCCGGAGGGAGGGGAGAGCAGGCCAGTTACGAGGGAGGAAGCGGCGGAGTACGAGATTTTGCCGGAGGATGATGGAGGTACTGAAGTGAAAGCGGGAGGGGAGGGAGTGGAAAGGGAGAAAGAAGAGGAGGCGTATGATCACCCCTTGTACCCGCAATATGTAGCGCCTACGGTGTCGGATATGCCGGGAACCACTGCGGCGCCGATTAAGATTGCATATCGGGTTTCTAGTCGCGGGGGAAGGAAATGGGGGGAAATGATCGACTTGCCCGGATTTGAGCGGTGGGTCAGCTATAGCAAGAATGGACTGCTGAAGTATGTTCGTCCGGAATTGCGGGCAGCCGTAGCCATGAACAAACGGGTCAAGGGGCAGCAATACACCATCAAGGCGGGTAAGCATCCCCCCCCTCTTTCACATTTACATCCAACGACTCATAGGTGAAAACAAAACAAAAAACAGGCCAAAGCTTGATCCTTGGCGGCCTAATCCTCATAACCCCCCGCATAAGTGGCAGAGGTGGCCAAGTAGTCCTAGCAACCCCATTCACCAACCTGCCGGCACATATCGCCTCGACCTACAAATCCCTAAAATGGCTCGAACATCCAGAACCCGAGAGTGTGGATCACCTCTACTACCCAGCACCAACCACCGTGCCCCTCCCGGAATCGCTCATCCCGCAAAAACCCCCCAAGCGATCCGAACCATCAACCGCATCACCGCCACCAGCAGGGCTACCACTCCCACACCACCACAAAATCACTTCCGCCGAGGATTACAAAGGCACCCCACCAAGACCCCAAGAGCACCTCATCCCCCCGCTCCTCCCGCCTCATTTCGCCTCGGCAGGTGTTGTCGAGATAACGGAGGACGTGACGTTACGGCGGAACCCTTTCCTCTCGATGAGTGAGCTGGAAAGCCTGCCGTACATCATCCTTGGCCGAGACTTGCTGCTTGAGGGCATCGGGTGGGTAGAATTGAACGTTCAGATGTCCAAGAATCAGCACTTCCGCACAGATGGCGTAGTGGAGGTGGAGGTGTTCACGCCGGAGGGCAGGGGGGCGGGGAGTAGAACCAGTATGGGCGCCGCTATGATGAGGAAAGAAATGGAGAAGGTTCAGGCTCGGAGTGGTGTGAGGCAGAGGAAGGCTATGAAGGGGGAGAAGAAGAAGGCCAAAGTGGGGGCTATGAAGGGGGAGAAGAAGGCCAAGATGGGGGGCAGGGGGAGGTGAGGTAATTATTGTAGTATAGGAGCGTCTAGTGAGTTGGGGAGAGCTGTGTAATATTTGTAAAAATTAGGGGTCGCGAGAATATATCGCTTTTTTGATAGAGGTTCATTTTTTCTGGGACTTTGGGGTGGCGCTTTAGCCGCGCTCTTATTTCCCATTCCGATTTCCTGTAAACCCACCGCTCCTGCTCGTATCATACCAAATTCACAGGGGACGGCAATGAGCCAAGTTACCCTTTGCTGCCGGCAGTATGTGATCCACAGGTTGTGATCAGGGTACCGGGCACCCTCCCGTCCAGTAATCGTTGGGGAGCTTCTTGGTGAATAGATGGATTTGATGTGTCTAGGCTATGGTGTTTGAGGTGCGCCTCTCCTTCTTGCCTGCCTCCTGGTATTGTGTTCAGTTCACCTGATATCAGTCGAGTCTCAATACTTCATTTTCTCCCTTGTCTTGTAACCTTTCCAACGGTCCGTGTTGGCTAGCACTGCGATGAGCGTATGGCGTCGTAGCGTCTTGACTTGAATCAGATCCCACACCCAGACCTCTTCCCTCCCTCCATCCCTCCTTCCTTCCTTCCTTTTCTCCCACCGGGTCCGTCCAAAAGTTACACATTCAAGGGCACGATTTGACTCACCAGTCACTCTAATTGCATTCCCTATTCGGACGTCGTGATGATCCGAGGGATTTCATCCGATATTCTCTGTCGCTCTCGCTAGGCTCTTTGTTCGCTATCCGTTTGGGCGTGGGTTGAGTCGTTGGGGGCAACTTCACTCCCGTCCTGTAGCCGTATGATACTACTGTAAAGCTCTGGGGGGTGCATAATACCATGAATACTTTTCCAGTTTCCGGGGGTTATGCCCGTTCCATGTACCACTGATGGTATCACGCACTCATCTAGTGACCGCCCAGGGGACCACGAGTGATTTCTCGTGATAATGTGTTACCGGTCTCGATAGCGTGGCTACCTGGCTGGCCGGCCGGCTGGCTGGGTTCTAGTTTGTGCTCGTCGACACCCTGTACAGTACCCCTTCCGAGGGAATTGCGCAAGGAACATGCAAACACGTCCAAAAGGTTCCAAGTGAGAGCGAGTTGTATATCCCGATTACCCCTCCTCCTCCCCTCACCTAAGGATCGCATGATGTCAAACCTTTAAGTAGTCACTATTCACGCTGCCGGGTGGATAGGGGTCTCCCGCCGCTTGGTGTTAAAGATAACAGTATTACTTTTTTTAACATTGAATACATTCTAGGAGCAGGCACATCCTCAGGAGAGGAAAGATTATAGGTGGTGATTGCCCCATAGTAAAGGACAAAATCCCTAGGTTTGCGAAGGAGTGATCATGGCGGGGATATCAGCGATAGAGAAGGATAGGTTTGGCTACAAGGAAAGACAATATTTGGAGTGGCTCATGGAGCATGGATGATAGACGGGGGGCACTGAGGTCTAGTGCGTTAATAATTCTACAACGGGACCGTACCATGGTGCAAGATCTATGGCTTCAGGTGGCCCCCTTCAGGGGATTGCGCTTTCAAGCAGTGCGTGGCGTGTTCTACGAAAAGCTATCGTACCACTTGTCACAAAAACTATGATAGCAGCACAACAATCACAGCCCCTCACTCACACAACAGGTTCTAAAGATGCTGTCGAAGCCCTTACCAAATGATACTCCTTTTCAGGCAGCGCCAGTGGGGGGGGGGATAAATCCGGTAACTCTCAGCTCTGGAAAGGACAAAATTTGAAATACAAGAAGCCTCAAGCTATGCTCTCCAGTGTGATAGACGAGACGTACCTATGATAGCTAGGTACCTCTCTACCCCGAGAACCCAACCCGGATAGTCCGCCCCTTTTCAGGCAAAGATGGCACGCGGGTATGTAACAGTAGCTACCGCTAACTTTGACATGCCGGTAGATCAATCTACACCTGCAATCACTTATCATACCCCAATCCCAAACACTTTTAGGGTGAGCAAGGCTCACCCTAAAAGCCGACAGAGCATTACAAAATTTCCCCAAAGATTTCTCTTTTCCCTTTTCCCTCTAGTCGTGATAGTAGCCTTATTCAAGTTTCTCAGGTAGCAGGGAGAAATTGTCCTACGGTAGGCAACACCTTTTCACCTCCCAGCGCCCCGCGAACCCTACAAATAACAGTACCAGTAACGCGACCCCCCATGAAAAGTTACAGGCATCACTGGAAGGGGTAAGCTAAATGCAGATAGTAGTACCGGCACAAAGTATTCTTCCTCTCTACCACCATAACTATGATACCGAGAGGAAGAAAAAAAAATCACCATAAATCCCCCCACCCACACCCCGGAAAATGGCAGTCAGCAATTGCACACCAAGGCTTCCCATAACTTTCGACCGGGTCATCGAAAAAGTCCATCACCATGGTATGATACTCGACATGCCATGCTAATCCCCATACGCTGTACGAAACGCTAGAGCGCTCTTCGCGACAACCGCGATAGTCCCCGGCCACACGGAAATGACCTAGAGACTCTTCTTTCACTCGCTTATTTATTTATTGGGGACCAGTACTGAAGAGCGGTGGTTGTCCCGTGGCGTCACTCATAAGGCATCCTCCAAACGTAAAATAGAAATAAATAAAAAGTGGTAAAAGTAGTAGTACACCCACCCACTCACTCGAAAGGAAGAGACACCCGGAAAATCACAGGACTTCTTCCCACACCATGCAATTGATAAAAGGGGGGGACCTCGTCATGGTTAAGAGGGCGGGTTACGCCTCCTCAAGCGTGTTCACCATCAAACCAAGCACATATACATGATATTAGGCATGATGCCCAAACCGTCCTCAATTCACTGGCTCCCACCGCCCAAATACTTACCCAAAGGGCTGACATCCTCCCCTAGCGCTCTGCTAATAACGTACAGAGTCACCCTCATCCATCCATCCAGAATATAGTATTACCATTCTCATCTATAGGAGGATCGACACCCAAGAACACTCATCGTACCTCCTTAAAAGTCGGAGAACTGCACAAGTGAGGTTTTAAAAAGTTATAAAACTTCACCATCTCAACATATTGCACTCTCCCACTGAGGAGGAGGACGAGGAGGCTGTCTGGCTGCGTATGTAATGTACTGTGTCGCACTATACATTCCGGAATTCCTTGCCTGAATCTCTCCTGCGCCTTACCACAGCCTTACCAATTTTTCCATCTTTTGCACCCCTCCTCGTAAATAAGCATTATTCATAGATACGGGTCTACCGGTGGTTTTGCGAGGAGATGGTGATGAACAGCGGACGGAAGGGAGGTTTTATCAGGGGAAGTGATCGGAATATAATATGTTGGTCGGGGGAGGGGGGAAGATGGGCAAGGTGAAGGAGCGGTAGTGGACAATGCCACGCAACTCCAAGCAGCAAGCATTCACTCCAGAAAAAGAGTTCTCCCATCATTCAATACTAAAATTTGTTCCCCTATCATACCCGTATCATTTGTGTAATATGATAGCTCAATGCGCAGAGATACCCTACCACCACCCAGGGCGATAATACACTACAGTACGGTAAGTTAGTAAGGCACCATATTATACAAAATCCCAATCAGTCCTAGCGCATCCCAGCAAGTGTCCTGTATCGTACGGTACTTTACTCGCACTATCATACGAGTACTTGTAAGATACGCACCAGTAGCGCAAGGGCCCAGTCCCAGGGGAGGCGCTAACCTATCATATCATACGCTATCATACTGCCAACAAGTCAATGCCCCGGCCGCTACTCCAAGAATCAATTGCAAAAAAACCGAATTCACCCCATAACCAATGCCTCCGCCGCCCACATACACACTTCGTACGATAACTTACAGATCTCGTCAAGCCCCCTCCGAAAAAATTAAGGGTGAGAACTCACCCAGTATCGTATCAGGGTGGTCCCACCAAACTAACTTTAACCTTACCCCACAAAACGGAAAAGAACAATCTATATATACGAACGACGTTTGCGAACACAAGTGCTATTGCATACCCGCCAAAATTCAACTTTTTCCCCTTTTTTTTCCCCCTTAGATCCGAGTGTCATCGCTCAATTACGAGCACTGTATAAATCGGCTTTTCAAGAACGTGCTCCCAAGAGCTCCAGGCACGAGATCTTACACAATTAACAGTTCACTCTGGTTTACCGCGTGTTCAGGACTGCGGAAGTGGCTGAGAGGCTGAAGAGGGGGGGAACCGATGAGTGGTGATTGGAAGGAAAGGCAGTCCCATGTTGATGGGGAGGAGTTGACTTTTTTTCCTTTTGCAAGCTTCTATGAGTCCTGTTTCTCCACTAGTTATCGCTCTACGAGACTGATGATGTGTGCAACTCGTACTATACCAAGAAGCGTATCCTCTTCCCGCCAGAGTCGGGTTCCCGCGAGCGGCGCCCGGGGGGGATGACTTTCCCCAGAGGGTTATTTCCCGTCAGAAAGCCTTCGCGTTCTTTTCTTTTCTCCTCCCTCCGTTTCTCCTTGATGAAAAGCCAAACAGCCCCGACATCCTCGGGAAAGCCAAACCAGACAGACACCTCTTAAGCCAAATCGCGGGCTGTATCCGACTTCTAGAACTACAGAAAAGTATCCACTCCATCGAGTCCCTTTTCCTACATGATAACACCATTCACTCATGGCTGAATTATGGCAGTGGGGGGCTGGATTCAATCAATGTGCAGGTAGGCTTCTCGCACAACTGGAGGTCTCGAATATTCCAGACGCACTCGTGCGGGACCTTAGCATACGCCTGGAGGGGCGGGGCATATGGCAATCGCTTCACTGCAGTGCTGTACGGATGGGAACGCGATTTCCTGCCTCGTAGCGAATAGTTTGTCTAGGAACAGTCGGCTACGGGTCGGGTTGGTAGATACAATGTCATGTGCTCGTCTTGAATGCTCCCACCCTATCAAAGCTTATCCGACCGTTTCCCGCCCACCCCCAGCTCATTTCAACCGTTTGAGCACAATTTTCGTAGGGTTATCTTGAGCCCCAAGTATGATACTAGCTTCCCCTACATGAGCGCACACATGCTCATTTTCTCTCAACAAGACAATCCAACAGCCCCAGTAGCCTATCGAATGATATGCTATGACTGCATACGTTGCCTCAAAATAGCCTACGCATAGAATAGGATAAACCTCACTCGTAATGCCCACAATCGTTACTGCGCTTAGCCAACCGCAATTCCCAGTCACCTACTCGAGATCCACCTCCCTATTGTATCCCTTCCACCATGGATCAACACTGCCGACCAAAGCCTTACCTGTAGCAGCTACATAATCCCAGAGAGACCTCCTAACTTCCAACGATTCAGAGCGTGGTAATGGGGGGATCGTATGCCCATTGGCATCGGCCTTGTCAAGGTCAATGTCATCCCTAGATAGCAACAGCTGAACCACCGCCCCTCGCGCATTCCTTATGGCCTGGCACAAGGGAGTTGTGCCAGAATTATCCACAATATTAACATCCACCCTCTCATCCTGCATCAGCAATTGCACCGTCGTCGCATGTCCACGTTCCGCCGCCACGTGCAAGGCCGTGCGACCCGCAGGGTCCCTCCAATTGGCCTCGCATCTACCGTCACGCAGCAACAGCCGAACAACGTCCACCCGAGCACTCTCCGCGGCCAGGTATATCGGTGCGGTGGCATGCGTGCCCAACAAACTACTCTCGATCCCCGCACGCTTTAGAAAAATCTTGACCATCTCCACGTCCCCCCTCCACGCCGCCACCCCCAGCGGGGTCAAAAGTTGCGCGTTCGCAATGTTCACGTCCACCCGAGAACAGCCCACAAACGCCTGTACGAGGGCCCTACGCCCATCACGTGACGCGATATACAGCGGTGTGTAGTTGTCCCTGTCAAGCACGTTAACAGCGACCTCCTCCCGAGAAAGGAATTCCTCGACCGCGGTGATGGCACCGTAACGAGCTGCCCAGTGGATCATGGACCAGGACACGCCATCACGCAGTTCCGCAGAGACACCGCAGTCAAGGAGCGTGCGAACAGCCTTGCCGCAGTGGGGCTCGGTGATGTAATAGAAGAGCCTCCTATGGCCCGGCCCCAAAATATCGAGGACTCCTTTCTCTATGAGGAGACGCACTATCGTTCTGTCCTCGCGTTCGGCCGCAGAGTAGAATGCCTTCCTAGCGTACGTCTTTCGCTTGGAATGGGGACGGAACAAGCTGTCGACGAGGACGTGGGACAAGAGGTTGGCGAGGTGTCGACTTGTGAGGACGAGGGAATAAAGGTCTTGGGGACTCTCATCCTTGCAGATCTCGAGGATGAGCTCGTTTGGCAGACTCAGAAACGACATTGTCGGCGTTTGTAGGGAGGAAACCAAGCGACGCGGGAGAGGGTTGTTGGGTTGAGTCAGGTTTAAGTACTCGAGTACTATGCCGGCCCAAGAGCGTGACGCATACCGTATCGTTGTCACCGCACCCGGATCTGGAAGTGAGAATCCAGTGCAGTAGGCAGAGAACCGTGTTGTCGCGGGGAAGCACTGAACCGGCCAGAATAGGAGGAAGGATCGGATCAGCATGTCTAGGTCTGGTAGGCGTGACATGGTGTTGACAATGCACTGTACTCGAGTACCCTCAGTAAGTGAGGGTACCCCACCGGTGCTCCAGAAATCTGGCGGGGCAGTGGCAAGTACAGTACCGATACCCCTGTGATACCGCCACTTGCATGATACCGGTATGTTTGAGCAACACTCGGGTGTCTATCAATTTCACACGTTTATATCTCCAGGGAGCAGTGACAGGAAGCCTCCCCGACACAAGTATCTACCCAGTTGCATTAAAAGATTGCCTCCGTAGACGCAACTAGTCCAGTGTTTAACTTCCGTCTGCATGCCCCCCCCCTTCCCCGATTCCTGATCTGCGCGATTCCCGAGGCCACATCCGCACCCGAGCACTACCATTGCGAATCCAGTTACCCTGACACTGACCCAGCAGTTCAGGAGACGTCTCGACAATACATTATTTGGATAACATCAAGATTCGAGGCAATCGCGCTGTACTCGAGTGCTTGAGTACTCGTACTGTACTAGTACAACCCCCGACCAATGAAAATCCAGCAGCTGAAAGCCGCGCCCCAAATCTGGGAAAGAACGGATCGCCGACCACTCTACAGTCACTCTAACCCAGCAGAGGTATCTCGAGGAAAGGTATAACGAGTGAGAATCTATGAGATATCCACGCGTAATCTTGTGATACTTGGGCAGAATGACTTGCCATACCTATTCATATCATACGAGTACGCCCGCGTCGGAAATATTTGTGTTTCGGTGGATGGGGGAGCACTACCGGTATTATAGCTTAAATCCAACGAAACGCCAAGGAGCCCTCACCCACAGACACCGCCATTTACAAAAAGAGAAAGAAACCAGAACCAGTCCCAACTAGAACCCGGGGTTTGAGCAAACCTTATCATACATACCATGTGCAGAACAGCAATAAACGCAGAGACCATACTCCACTTTTTTTTTTTCTTTCACCTCCCCCTACCATGGTGCTGAAGAAGAGAAAAAAAGGGGGGCAAAATGTAAAGATATAAAGCTCACGCCTACAGAATCTTAACTTTGATGACGCCGCTGGAATGCAGACAGGTACATTAGGCAGAGAGAAACTTAAAGAACGTAGGGGAAAGATATAGAAGAGGGGAAACAATTACCGCACACACAAAATTTGAATTTACCTTCCTCTCAGGAACAGGATACTACACATAGAGCACGAGCGTAGGCGCACAACAGGCACAATTCTTTCAAACAACCCACGCCTTCCGGCACCCCCCGTCGTACGACCAAGGCGAGAAGGAAGGAAGGAAGGAAGGAAGGGGGTGCCTATTCTACAGCCTACTGTACTACTTGTACCTCTCCCGCTCCCACCTAAGCCTCTAAAGCGCGCAGGTGTGCCTACCTTCTCTCGGCCCATATCCCCACTCCCTACGCCCAACCCACCCACTCACCCATTGTCGCCGGAACGCAACCGACCTCGACGTTATCCGTTTCCAAAATAATACCGGCATCCTCTAACCCACTGAGGGAGAAATTTCCGCATTTGCACTTGTAAACCCCATTGTTCCAGGTGTGCGAACTACCGGTATCCTCGATAATAATAATATCTCGATAGAAGGGGTAGAGATAATTCTATAGAAGAGCATACCCGATACCGTTATTCTCCCAGTATCATTATTCATTTATTATCCTTACACGTCGCACTGCACATAGAGAAACTTATTCCATGTTATAACAGCTGCCTGACACGACCCGGCTGGGCTGCGTACCCACCCAGCCTAGCCCTTCACCAAATAACACATGGTAGCAATCTAACAAGGCACAGAATACAGGGCCCAAAGATTTAAAACGTTTTTCACAACCGGGTTTTTTCCTTTCGTATCTCCCCTCCGCCCCCCTTTCCTACGGTTGGGGGAAAATGTATGATATCACCGAGGCCGTCGAGTGAGCACTCATGACCACTAATGCAGTACTATACAGCGTAGTATGATACTATGCAAATCCATATCCAAACAAACAAAAAAAAACCCCAAATTCAGCCTTACCTTTTACCTTATCTTACCTTACCACAACCCCATCCAAACCAACTTTTCAAAAGAAGGAAAAAGAAGAAAAAAAAGGATAAAGACATGAAATCACACCCATCAAACATGCAACCTCCTCCAAACCATCACCCCAAATCACTCGAGCCCGATCAGCTAGTACAAACAAACAAAACAAAACCAAGAATAACAAGAATAACGATAAAACGATAAAACAGGAATGACAAAAGGACCATGTGGGACTCAAAAATAAGCCTCCCAGATTTAGCTTGGCTTAGCTTAGCTTTAGCTCAGCTTACCTTACCTTCCCGCCGCAGCCCGATTCTCAACCCCTCCAACTTTGCCATCCCGATCTGTTCCTTACGAGTTGCGGTGCTGTATGATACAGTACTGTACTCCGTTCCACCCGCCCCGCACCCACGCACTTACTCTCCCCCCTCCCTTCCCTTCCCTTCCCTTCCCTTCCCTTCCCCACCAGCTAAGCGTGCCCAGGCCGGCCCAGTGACAACTTTACCGTACCGTACTCGTACCGTATTGTTATGATACGGTACCCACCGACCAACCCATCAGTCGACCGATCCAGGAAAGGACGCACACGATCGAGAAAAATTTTTCCCATCACAAGTTAGCCACAGTTTCCGTGCTGCACCGCTGCCGCACCCGGCACAAATAAGGTATGATAGGGGGTAAAAAAAAAAAGGAATATAGTGTAATGAATCTGGGGTTTGCCGTGCATTAGAGCGTGCCCCGCAATAACATTATACAAGAGGAAAAAAAATTTTAAAGTTCGCCCGGGAGGGAAGTGCTCGTGTGATGTGCTGCTACAAAAGTTTTCGCCTCGAATGGGGGGGTTTTTTTTTTTCTCTGCTACTTTTCGATTCTGCACCTGAGTTGCTCCTGCATGCTAAGTCCCGATCACGATCGTAGTGAAAACGTTACCAGTAAGATGTGTCCGTCGAAAAAAGATAAATTTCCTTTTCAACTACTGGGGTGATAGACAAATATTTAACAATTCCCCACCTTCCACCCTTCTACCTAGCCATGCTTGCTCAGCATCCCACCTTCTCCTCCCTTTACTGAAAAATATAACACAGGTATGATAGATATCAAACAATCGTGAGGAGACCGCACAACATGACTGTAAAGCACGCGCACTAAAAGGAAAGAGGAAGAAAAAAGAAAGCACGAACACAAGCCAGAAGAGAAAGGTCGACCAACCGCATTCATTTCCAACGGTGAGAAGGTACAGATAAATGGGTGGAGAGAGAGGATGGATAATGGTACCAAGAGAAAGGTAAAAGGTATAAATACTAGGTTTGATAGAACGGTTTTGAAAAGATGAGAAGAAATAATGCAAAGACTTGGAAAATGATGATAATGCTCACGATAACCCGTCCCCAACCAACCAGCCCCTCCCCGTCCGCCCGTCCCGAGTGAATTCCAGATACCCGCTGTGGTGTTTGGTATGGGAAATAGCAGAAACAGCAGATTCAAATCAAGAGTAGAAAAAGACGACTAGGTGTAAAAAATTGGATAACTAAGAAAGGAGAAGAAAAAAAAAAGAAAGAAAACTCCATATGCCCAACAATTTCCTCGAGTAGTTTTAGGGGGTTACTTTCACCGCATTTTTAAAGGTCAGAAAGGTGAAAAAAGGTTGGTTTCGCTGACCCTTGGTGCCGATTTTCAAAGAGTCAAAAGTTTATAACAAAAAAAAAAAAAAATAAGATTATGGGAAAGTAAGGGATAAAAGAACAAAAGAAAGAAAAAGTAGCGTCCTGCCAGTTTGTAAATTAGAATCGCACAACTATCGTCTCGAGAGAGATGGCGAAAATGACCCCCATCCGTCTCCCTCACTAGGGGGTGTCGGCCACTTGGGTTGTTGAACATCCTCATCTCGTCTCCTTCGTCCGACCACGTCCACCGCCTTCGCAGAGGGATAGTACCGGCTCCCCATCTGTGGGCTTGGTGTAGGATATCCCGCTGGAGCTTGCACTCCATTTTGATGCCTTAAATCCCGTGCTGAACTTCTCCTGCTTGGTGTCTCATTGGTGCTTGGCTGTCGATACCTTCCCGATGCCGCAGCCATCACCTCATCAGCAAGCTCATCGTTCTCATCCGGCGTTTCGTATCGTTGCCTTGCATTCCTAATACTCCTTCGTGTTCGGGAACTAATCGGCGCCGTTACAACTCCATTGTTGGGAGCAGGTTCTCCAGCACGAGATCCATTAGGCGTGGGGGGGAAACTTGAGTTCCGTCGGATCGACCCAGTCTTGGAAACCGATCCACTGGCGTCATCCAATACACCATCTACATCCTTGATCGCCCGATCAAATCCTCCACTCTCCCCTCCACCTGGACTTTCCACCAACATACTACTCCTGTTGCTCTCCCCCCCTTCCCTTCCTCCACCCCACGCAATCCCACAGCCTATTCCAACCTCCAGATCCTCACCGCTGGGGCTCGAAGGAAGTCCATTTTTCGCGGACAATCTCCTCGCTCGTTTCCGTAAATGAGAAAAGAAACCTTCCTTCTGAGTCCCTGCAGAAGTCGGGCTAACCATACCACTTCCAGAGTTTCCATTCAACTTGTCCACTGCCATCGCAATATGGGGATTAGAATAACCATTACTCTGAGAATTCGTCGAAGCCACTGACAACTGACGACCCAACTTCTTGACTGTCTTCTCCTCCATTTTCCTCCGTTCCTTCTCAACCGACGGGGAATCATTTTCTCGCCTCACCCTCGCTGCCTCAACAGATACCGCATCGCTCAGTGGCGACACCGGGCGAATAGTGGGCAGAATCATCATGGGCGCCGCGTTGTTTGAAACACCGCTCCCGGACGAAATTTTAGGCGCATGCCAGGTGCTCCTTTTCTCTGATCGCGGCTTGTAGTCCCTCTCTACTGTTGTAGGGGGTGGAGAAACAATACCATCGGCCCGTGAATTTCCAATGAAGGACTTGCGGAACCACGAAGACTTCTTCTCCAGCGTAGGCTGCGAGTCAGTCATGGAATCTCTCGATTGTTTCATCGTCAATTCAGATTGCTTCCTCAGCATGCGTGATGGGGTGGACGATCGTGGTTGAAGGGGGTCGACGGCATCCTTGAAGTACTCATGCTGGAGGGCCTGCCCCGATGTTGGTCGGTTCCTCGGATCCCACATCAAACACTGAGTAACGAACACCGCTAACGACGCAGGCCATGTAGGGGCCGCCAGAATAGATTCCATTGGCACTGGTGCCATCTGTTTATTGTCAGCTTCGTTTAATTCCATTCCAAATACCATGCAAGGGGTTCTCGGTATGTCGAGTAACCGAGCCAGCGATGGAGTATAAGAGCCGGACGCACCCTAGGAAAGCTGAACCCCAGTCGACCCGCTAGCCGTGAACCCTCCCTCCATTCACCTCCGCCCATCTTTTTTCCGTTTCGCCCAACCCACTGCCCCGGAGATCCCATAACCTCGCACACCCTCCACACCTGATCAACCTCGTTTCCACCGGGAAATAGAGGCTTCAGGGTAGCAACCTCCACAGCCATCGCACCAACCGCCCATATGTCCACCGGAGCACTGTACTCGCCAGCCCTCAACAGTACTTCCGGCGCTCGGTACCATCTGGTCGAGACATATGTTGTGTAAGGCAATTTGGATGAAGTTTCACGAGCGAGTCCGAAATCCGCAATTTTGACAGTATAAGTTGGCGGCGTTGATGGCGGGGTAACTAGCGGTGAGTATCGGCGGAAGGAGCCAGACGAATCGTGGGGGTTGTGTGCAGAGGTTGATACGAGAATATTTTCAGGTTTGATATCGCGATGAAAAAATCCATGTGCATGAATGTGCTCAAGTCCCGACAAAATCTGAAACCTGCAAACAGTTAACATCCCTGGTGTCTCCGAGCTACAGCCGGTCAAACCCACAATATGCTCTTAACAACGCTCCCCTCCAATAATTTACCCTCACGAGCTTTCATCAGCTGGTACAAATTGCCATCCATATATTCCATGCAAATGTGAAGTCTTTTGCTGTAGGGGTCCAAGAAGATATCTAACGCGGGAACCAGATGGGCATGTGCCGGAAGCTGTTTCAAGAAGATTACTTCTCTTAGCTCCAAACACGGTGTGAAGGATTCAAAGGTCTTCTTCATAGTTTTGATCGCAACCTGAGAAACAAATCAGCGCTGTCACCAATAAGAAGTTCTCTCGATCCGAACATACCACGCTGCCTCGTCTAGCAACATTGGAACCTGCCGACCGCACCTTGGCGAGAACAACACTCCCAAAACTCCCATCGCCTATATCTTTCAGAATCTCGAACCGATCCGTCAACGCCATATTCGCTGTCGATGTGCTGCTAACCATCTTCGAACTTTATTTATTGAGGAAAAAAACCTGTCAGTAAGGGATAGGGCGAGGGCTGTCAACGAGAGGAATGGCTAACTGTTACCTTTTAAGAAATGAAAAAGGAAAACTATTAAAAAAACCTATTATAATGTTGACGGTAAAAGACAATCGCTAATTTTTTCTCCCGCTAGAAAAAAAAACCCCCCAAACAAAAGATCAAATAAATCACCAACACGCCCGCAACGAAATATATGCCCCCTATAGAATTCCACAAGAGAGAAAGAACGCCCGGATCAGGCTATACGGGGCTAGTTGTCCGCAGATACGATCCAGATCAGCTGAGGGGAGCCTTGCCGCTGCGGGACGAGGAGAGGGAGAGAGGAAGAAGAAAAGAAAAAAAAAGAGAAAGAAGGGTCGACAACGCCAGAGCGAGAGGAAGTAGAAGACCGTTAACGCGAAATATGGTTGAATAGAGTTGAAGCAGTCGGACTCGGTACCGTCCCGAGGGCCAGTTGAAGGTATCCTGAGAGCAAAGTACGGTTGAAGAAGGAAAGCGAGGAGGGAAACGGATCGCAGGGTCCAGCTTTGACGGCTTGTTGCTGAGGATGAACTACAAGATGGGAAGGAAATGGATGGGAGAAGAGAGGGCGGGGAGGAAGAGCAGGATTGGGAAGGGGGCGTAGAAACAGTGTCGGACCAATAGGGGGAGCACCGACTGGGATTGGTGGAACCGAAGGGCTGGTTGGAGCGGGAACGGCCAGTGAGCAGTCGGACGAGTGAGCGTGGGGTGAGGATGAGTGGGTGGGAGGAGAGTCAGCGGGAAAAAAACTAAAAGGTGAGTGTGAAGCAGGATGGATGGATGGATAGGGCAGATGAGAACACAATGGAGAGTGAGAGTGAGAGGGAGCGTGTAGGGCAGGTAGACACCACAGCAGGTGCGTTGGTGATTGATTACGACCCGTCTCGTGGGATTGGACCGGTGGTGTTGCAGAACGGCGGGTTGACCAACTGAGTACTAGTCGATGATGATCTGTCGAGACCCCTGTTTGCTACCCGTGGAACTGGCTTCTCCCCTTCTCCCTCTTTTTCTTTCGCCTTTTCTTCCCACGGCGACCTTGCCCTGTCTCGTTCAAAGAATCCTTTCGCGCAAACTCTGATCCAGTCCCAGTCTGGTTTGTTTACCTTTCGGGGGGGAAAAGTTATGTACGAGTACGGTATGATAGGAGAAGAAGAGGTAGACGAATAGACCGCGGAAAGAATCAGGAAATTGAGGAGAAGACAACCCGAGAAGCTGTATGGCGATAAACGAGTGGGTGCCAGACCAAGTAGGTGGTTAATAACCAAGCCAGAATCGGACTGGATTGGAGGAGGGTGTGAGATGAGCTACCGTACCTCCGTGGGTGCAGGTTGAACCAACCTTCTTTTTTTTTTCTTTCTTTTTTTGGACTACCGTACTGCAGTAGATAAAATGTGTCTGGCGCGAGATTAGGCAGGAAAGGAGTCCGTTCGACAAAGGAGACGAGCTACAGCTCCAGAAAGAAGCGGAAAGGAAGGCAAACAGAGGGTGGAAAGGGAGGAAACAATAGAATTATTAGGTGATCAAAATTCACGCTTACTGGGCCCTAGCCAGCGGTGATGAAGATGGTAATGATGGGGGAGAGCGATGGTTGGTGGAATATAATGGTTGGAGAGGAGCAGAAGTGTTGCCGGTACTACAGGTACGGCTGAAAAGATGAAAGCAGAGAGCAACCGGGCAAAGCGAGCAGCCTTCAGTGCAAGCGGCCGCGCAGTGGCTCACTAGGATGGGTTAGAGCGGGTAAAGGGGAGCTGTCGTGGTGTGGGCTATGGTTTGGCGTGCTATCGTAAGTTCATGGTCAAAGGGGAGGCATCATACAATGGAGGGAGGGGCAGAGATCAGACTATCGAAAAAAAAAACAAGCGGGTAGGGTTGCGGGAGAAAAAGAAACGGACACAGCGACAGGAAAGAACACATGGAATACCGGTATATCGAGAAGAATTGATGATGGGGGGGGGGGGTGTGGGTGGATTCAAGGTTTGGCAAGCAACGTTTCCTGACAGAAGCCTACTGCTTCATCCCCGCCTGCTGTTTATTACTATTATTCTCCTCTATTACGGTAGGTGTGACACAAGACTTGTTTATTCTTTTGTTTACACCAGTTCCCCGAGTCCAGACTGCGAAGTGCCCACAGAATGATGATGGTGAGCGCATCAAGCAGGTATCGTTAGACGCACGAATATGTATGGATATGGGGGGGTATGCGATGATGCGTGAGAAAATAATTGTGATTGATGGTTGGCGAAGCTGTGTCGTACCGAAATGTTGAGATGGGGACATCCTTCCTGCAGCACCTCGAAAAGGTAGGCGGGCTTGTGTGTAGAGGAAAAGAAAAGAAGAAAAAAAAGTTACCATTTCTTGGACGAGGTTCAACGGTCCTCTCACTTTCACTTTCCCCTCACTCGAGCAAGCCGTCCCTTCGCCTTCGCGCAGCACCCTAAATTTACATGCAATTGATATCACTTCCAATGCCCCAGTCGAGCACGAAAGCCAACTGGACGACGGTGTTCGAGCTCTTGTTGGCTGCGGTACCGTACGGTAATAGTATGCGTGCAGGGGCCAGAGAAAATGTGAGGTTGCATCTCTCCTCTGGCAGCTGTGCTTGGCCTGTCAAGGCCTTTCCACCACACACCCCGAATTTTGCAGCGTCCAAAACGGGCTGGGCTAAAGTGCGGTCCCCTGTAACTATTCTAATCCTTTTCTGGCACCCAAGCAAAAAAGAAAATTAAAAAAAGGAACCTGTAATCTCCGTGAGTATTAAAAAAGCAAGGAGGAATATCGCTTTTCTCCACCTTCTCTGTCGCTGGATGGGTATGAAAATCTTCCGTGACATGGAAAACGACAACCTGAGGCGTTGCCTGGACCGACCGAAGCTCCAGTCCGTCCAAATGATGCGATATGTGTTTGTGCCGCACAGGTAAAACAGGTAAAGTTACCGTGGCGAGGCTGCTTATCAGTCTTTTCCTTTCCTTTTTCCTTTTTCCTTGCTCGCACTTTTCATCATGGGCTCGCTCCGCATCTCGAGGCTGCAGTGGATGAGCATAAAGTCCTCGGGCAGAGATCCATACCAGAAATACTGGTGCAGTATCTTAGCATCATAGCAACGTTCGCTTCATCTTCCATCCAGCCACCAGAGAGGCGTTAGCACATACGCCTCCCCTGCGCCCCCCCACCCGGAAACCCACTCAGTCCGTGACCTTCCCAATACCGGTCTTAGACCCTCCCTCAAAGCTCCCCATTCCACTTTCATAGTGGGCAGGGACCTCCTTTCCATCTTGGCCCCGTCAACCGCCCAACCGTTTCGGTAGTTCTCCTGGGCCAAACAACCGGATGTGACCCATCAGAAGGCACAAAACCGCCTCCGGGTGTCGGACGGGTTGAAAAAACCAAAAAAAAAACTTGGCCCTACTGCGCTAGCACCAGCGCTAGTACTGTACGGGTATTTGTAGAGAGTTGGAAGCCAGAGCAGGAGGAAAAAAAAAAGAAAAAAAAAGTCAATGGACGAAGGGTTTAGGGTTGCTGCAACTACCGAATCTGAAGCAAGGTGTGTGAAGGCAGGTGTCCAACCAAT